ACATTTCTTTGAGCTTTTCATTGATATGAGATGAGATGAGATGATGAGATTCAAACTTTATTGTCATTACACATATACAAGTATAGAGTAACGAAATGAGGTTTGGCATCTCACCAGAAGTGCAAATAAGCAGAAAGTGCAATGTGTGCTATGTAAGTAATTCTGTGCTATGTACAGTAATTGCAAAATTTACAGATGTAGACAAAAAAGTGAATTATTAGGTAATCTGGATGGCTGGATTAATGGGATGCAATAAATATAATAGAAATGCTATAAATAAAGTAAGTAATGGCTACAAAATAAGTGTGTTTTAGGATTATATATATACAGATTAAGATGCAGTGAGCATGCTATACTAATAATATACAGATTAAGATGCAGTGAGCATGTTTATAAAGTTTACAGATAATTTAAAGAATATGAACATACTATAATACAATAATACAGATGGATGAGAGATGAGTGTGTGTGTGACCAGGAGGAGTGGTGGGGGGATGATGGGTGTGAGGTGATATGGAGGGGAAAGGGGGGTCAGCAGGGTGCGGAGAGAGAGAGGGAGAGAGAGAGAGAGACAGAGTTCAGAGTTCGGGGGGTAGAGTTCAGTAGAGAAACAGCTCTGGGGAAAAAGCTGTTCCTCAGTCTGCTGGTTCTGGTCCGGAGGCTTCTGAAGCGCCTGCCGGAGGGCAGGAGGGTAAACAGTCTGTGGGCAGGGTGGGAGGAGTCTTTAAGGATGCCATGAGCTCGCCGCAGACAGCGTTTTCTTTGGACATCCTCAATGGCAGGAAGTGGACACCTTGTGATGCGCTGGGCGGTTTTTACCACCCGCTGTAGCGCCTTACGGTCTGCGACAGAGCAGTTTCCGTACCAGACTGAGACACTGCTGGTCAGGATGCTCTCGATCACACAGCGGTAGAAGTTCATCAGTACAGCTGAAGACAGGTGGTGTCTCTTCAGTGTCCTCAGGAAAAAGAGGCGTTGATGAGCCTTCTTAACCAGACTGGAGGTGTTAGTGGACCAGGAGAGGTCCTCTGTGATGTGGGTCCCCAGGAACTTGAAGCTGGAGACACGTTCAACAGCCATCCCGTTGATGTGAATGGGGTTGTGCGTGCTTCCTCTTTCTCTCCTGAAGTCCACGATGATCTCCTTCGTCTTGCTGGTGTTGAGGAGCAGGTTGTTGTCAGCACACCAGGCGGCCAGATGCTGTACCTCCTCCCTGTAGGCCGTGTCATCGTTGTTGCTGATGAGGCCAATCACCGCTGTATCGTCCGCAAACTTGATGATGGTGTTGGATCCATGTACAGGTCTGCAGTCGTGGGTGAAGAGGGAGTAGAGGAATGGGCTCAGCACACAGCCCTGTGGTACGCCTGTGTTGAGTGTGATGGTGGTGGAGCAGGTGTGTCCTGACCTAACATACTGGGGTCTGTTGGTCAGAAAGTCCATTATCCAGTGACGGAGGGAGGAGTTGAAGCCCAGGTCTCCGAGTTTAGTGTTAACTTGGAGGGGATGACAGAGTTGAATGCTGAGCTAAAATCAACAAACAGCATTCGTGCGTATGTGTTGTTATTGTCCAGATGAGTGAGCACAGAGTGCAGCGCAGTGGAGACTGCATCCTCTGTACTCCTATTGCTGCGGTAGGCAAACTGGAATGGGTCCAGTGTGGGTGGGAGGCAGTTTTTCAGGTGTGCTAGGACCAGTCGCTCAAAGCACTTCATTATGATGGGTGTGAGTGCCACAGGGCGGTAGTCGTTCAGGCCTGTCGGGCTGGAGTGTTTCGGCACTGGGACAATGGAGGTGGCTTTGAAGCATGCTGGCACAGCTGCTTGGGCGAGGGACAGGTTGAAGATGTCCGTAAAAACCCCAGTGAGCTGCTCCGCACATGCCTAAGCACGCGCCCGGGGGTGCCGTCTGGACCAGCAGCCTTTCGAGCGTTGATCCGGCTCAGTGCAGCGTGGACGTCTGTGGAGGTGAGTGAGAGGGGCTGGTTGTCTGCAGGAGGTCTGGTCGTGGTCTGTGTCTCTCTGTTGTCTCTATCGAAACGAGCATAAAAGTGATTTAGCTCGTTCAGGAAGGAGACATCTGTGGTTATCGGGGTGGAGTTTCTGGGTTTATAGTCACTGATGGCCTGGATGCCCTGCCACATGCGTCTGGGGTCGGAGTTGGAGAAGTGTTCCTCTACCTTCAGCTTGTAGCAGTGCTTGGCCTTGATGATGCCCCTCCTCAGGTTTGCCCTGGATACGCTGTAGGCCATTGCATCATCTGATCTGAAGGCGGTGTTGCGGGCCTTCAGCAGGAGACGCACCTCCTTGTTCATCCATGGCTTCTGATTTGGGTACGTGGTGATCTGCTTCCATGTTGTAACACTGTCGATGGTGGTATTGATATAATCCAGCACAGAAGAAGTGTAGGTGTCAATGTCTGTGTGAGAGCCCAAGGTAGCCTGAGAAGCAAACATACTCCAGTCTGTGTGATGGAACTTGTCCTGAAGTACAGAGTCTGTCCCCGCTGGCCACACTTTAATCGTTGTTACTGATGGCTTCACACGTTGGATGAGTGGGGAGTACTTGGGGATGAGGAACAAAGAAAGGTGGTCTGACTGTCCCAGGTGGGGGAGGGGGGTCGTGGTGTAGGCTCCTGCGATGTTTGTGTAAACATGGTCCAAGTTTTGTTTCCTCTTGTATTGCAGGAAACATGCTGGTGAAATTTAGGGAGCACTGTCTTTAAGTTTGAGTGATTAAAATCACCTGCAACTATAAATGCAGCCTCCGGGTGAGCAGTCTGTTGTTTACTGATAGCGGTGTAAAGTTCCTTCATAGCAGCTTTGCATCGGCATCAGGGGGATGTAGGCTGCAGTTACAATAGTGGAGCTGAGCTCCCTTGGCTGATAGAAAGGTCTACATTTAACCATGAGAAACTCAATGTTAGCTGAGCAGTGTCTCCCAATAATGACAGAGTCTGTGCACCAAGCTTTGTTAATATAAATGCACAGCCCTCCTCCTCTGGTCTTACCGGAGTCCTCTGCTGTTCTGTCTGCTCGGTGTGTGTGGCGACCGGCTAGCTTGATAGCATCGTCCGGTACTCCGTTGTTTAGCCATGTTTCCGTGAATATCATGACATTACAGTCCATAATTCTCTTGCTGTGGATGATGCGAAGTCGTAACTCGTCCATTTTGTTCACCAAAGACCGCACATTAGCGAGGAAAATGCTGGGTAACGGGAGACGGTGCGGTGTTAGCTTTAGCTTAGCCCTTATACCTCCGCGCTTCCCCCGCCTTTGTTTACGGTCTCGACGCCGCCTGCGAGCACTTCCGCCCGGCCGGGTAGAGTGCGTAGCCTCGGGTGTTTTGGCGATCTCAGGGATGAGTCGAAGATTGTTGATTAAATCGTCAGGGAGGTGTATTCCGATATCCAAAAGTTCCTGTCGGGTGTAGGATGTTAAGGCGAGGCTGTTCCGTGCGAACAGACCCGAAATTAACAATAAAATTACTGCAAAATTGCAAATCTGAGAGAGACGCTGGGCCTCGCGATGCGCTCGCGCCGCCATCTTGGTCATCCGACAACAGACACTAATTAAAATATTAAAGCCTTGAATTGGTTATACTTAAAGGTATAAAAGTAATGCTTGGTATGGCTTAGAATGACGCTTTCATTTATGTTTTATTTTCTGCACAAGTCAGTTTAATACCATCAAGGCTGCAGCCTGAATAATAAGTCTTTAACTTTCATACACACCAGAGATGCGGACTCGAGTTTGAGACTTGAACTTGAGTTGCTCTTAAGTTGCACAAAGATTTAACCTAGAGACTTCACTTTGACACGCCCTCTCAGCGACTTTAGACTTCACCTGAACTCGAGGTTTGTGCCCAATCTCTTTATATCGTATATCTGGTGCGTTACCGTAACAAGCTTAATCTCGTTCCCTCCCATCATGTGGAACCCCCACGCGTCATGTGCGCGAGTGGCCACAGATGACAAGATGATGAGCATGTCACCTGAAGCTGCTACTGACAGAACGTCGGCTCAGGCATGAGGTAGTCGTCTGGAAGATGGACTGCCTCAAACGCTTTCTTTGGTCCGGACCAAATACGATGTTTCTCTTTTTGGTTTGGTGCGGTTCGTTTCCACATTGCACTTTTCACAAGAGGCCCTGAAATTTGTAAACAAAACAACGTGTGCAAAGATCGTTCAATCATTGGACAAAAAAGACCTTGCGTGCTGCACTCGTTGTCCTGGGATTGATTTGGTTCATACAGTTATAAACGTTTGCAGAAAGGTTTGAGCAGCAAGAGTGTTTTATACAACGTCAGTTTTATGATGCGATGCTTTCTGATATGGTCCTCTGCCCAAATATCCAGGAGACAGCGTGTCTCCTCGGCACTCCATGTTGAAACACAACTAATTTTTAGCAAACAACAACACTGTGCTGCTAACCAAACAATTATTTCGGTTAACAGCACTAAAATGAATCCATTGTGACATTAAAGTATTTTCTTGCTGTCATGTCAGACTCATCAACCAGGTTCCAGGCAACTGTGCCCGGGGTATCTTCATGAAGGTGGCCAGAAACATCTTTGCTGATGGCATCCACTGGGGTCGTGTGGTGGCTCTCTTCCATCTGGCCTACAGACTCATCTACAAGGTGATACACTTTTCAAATCCCAAACACAACAGAGCATCACATATTCATGTCGGGGTGCTCAATGTCTAAGTTTACGTAGATTTGTCTGTTTTATCCAAATAAATTATGACTCATAGCCTGTATAAGTATAAATATCATCTTATTTATACTTTTAAAGCAATTCCCAAAATATCGTAAATCATTCTCCTAAATCTCAGATTTCCTAAAACGTACCCTGTTAGCGCACTCACACTAGGCAGTCCATACCGTGCCTAAGCACGCTTCACCCCTAAAGTCCAGTTTTCTTAACTAGTGTGAGCTCTCCGATCTGTGCTCAAGCGCACTCCCTTGGCCCTAGCACCCTTGAAAGAGGTGTGCTTCTGCATGTTACAGTTCATGCACGAGCACAAGCATGAAGGCGGTACACAACGTCGACAGCCTTCATTATCGAGAAATCTCGGAGTGCTCTGGCTGTTTCTGACTAACATGACTCAAAATAAGACACAAATTCAGTAAAGGAGCTGTCATGTTTTCTTTGTTGTTCTCTGATGTGCAGACGCGGATTCGACCGCTGGTTCCTTGTAAACTAAGCATGCTTCATATTCACGTAAAGCCCAGCATGTGTTGTATGACGACGTCATGTACAAGAGGTAACCGTGCTCAGGCCCGGTTAGTCCTGGAGCAGTGTGAGTGTGTGTTCAGAATTTTTATTGGCTTAATTTGATTAGCCTTTATGAACAAGAAACTAAAAGGACAGAGGTGTTCAGCTCCCAATGAGCAATTTCATTTTAAACAGGGGAACCTTTTGATCTTCTTTTGATTTTCTCTTTTACAAGGAACATTAGTCATCAGCATAGTTGTTTGCAATTGGCTGGCGATGGATCAATGTTGGATCTTGGTAGATGATATAACAAAGATTAATATCTTTTTTCTGCTCTTTTGTAAAGTGTCTTGAGATAACATTTGTTCTGAATTGGTGCTATACAAATGAAGATTGGTTGATTATTGATTAGTTGTACTGTAGATACGTCAGAATAGGGGCACGCACCTCCTTTCAACTCATGCTCTCATTGGCTAATATAGGCTGGAAACAGTGAATGGAAGGTCGTAATTGGCCAAATGAAGTGTCAATCAACTGGTTAAGAGTCATGAGCATGGATTGAAAAGGTGTAACATGTAGGTTGGTAATATTCATTTGTTTTGGTTTTAAAGGCAATAACCAGCAACCATGAAGAGAACATCAAAATCATCTTCAGCTGGGTTCTTCAGGTCATCAGAGAGCAGCTCCACACCTGGCTCGTACAGCAGGGAGGCTGGGTGAGTGATGGATGGTCTGTAAGGACCTGTCAGTCATGTGCTTAATTCATTTCTCATATATTGACCTGTCAGTAGGGTCCAAAGCTCTAATCCTGCTCTCTGTACCTTTCCAGGTGGGGGTGATCCTTGGGATTTCTCGTTGGAGGACAGTAGCCATAGTAGCATCAGTAGTATTAGTGGCAACTTTTGTTTACTGCAGGAAAACACACTGAGATCTACAGACCTCACAACCAGGACCGCAGTGCCATCACTTGGGAAAACGCCACTGCATAATAGAGCCAGTTTCTAGAAACATTTACGACCACTCCTAAGCCTCCATCTTCTAATGCAGTACTATAAATAATCACAATTTTATCTATTTAGGTAATTCACCATCTAAACAAACCTTATGTGTGCTCCATTTCAAACAACCACAAAAAAATAACAATTTAAGTGAACTTATTAACACGTTCATAAATCCAGGCAAGAAATGCAAATCAAGCTAAATAACCACACTCGAAAAATAACGCACACACTCGTTTTGGAGTTGGTTTGCCGTCAGATTTAATTCCATCTTGCTGCCGTAAATAAAAGACACATCCTATGAATCAGTGATGCTTTTTGGGTTCATTGGGTGTTTCGGGTCTCGCAGCATCATGCGTCCTCACTCAGGCGACCCAGCCGGTGTTGATCAAGCCCCCGACTTGCGTCCCAGCAGCATTAGGCCATGAATCCCCCCTTTCTATCCACAGCCACCTGGAGACTTTCTCTGCTGCCCCCGTTGCAGTCCTGATGGCTGTTCTCCTCAGTTACCCTCTCATACTGAGCAGGGTGTAGACTCTGTGGAGAGAGTGGCCTGCAAAGCCTCAGCAGCTTACCTCAAATGGGTAACAGTTCGCTTTCCACCCTCGTTTCCGGCTATACTCAGGAAGTCCCTGGTATCTGGCCAGGGCACAGTTATTTCTCTCAGTGCAAGCTGTCTTTAGGCCTCTGATAAAATGACGATATCTGGTCACAAGCTCTGAGATGTAGTTTGGGCTGCTCTCCTGCCTTGATGAATGATATTGTACAGTAGTTTAGTCACTGCTCTTGATAATGCTGGTATTGACGGTCTAAAGCCAGACTGTCTCCTGTCATTTCTTTCCAATCACATTGATACCAATAGTTCAATATCTATAGCTCATTTTTGTCTTGAAGACTAAAATAATACAAACATAAGAATATCAGATTGTCTTGATTGTGTCATTTTAGTGTCTGAAGTGTCACATAAAATTAGACGAAAATTAGACAATTTATTTACAAGACAAAGCTAAGTCCAATGATTTTCTAATTGACTGTCCAAAAACTAAAAATTCTTAATTCACAATTTTTAAAAACAAAAAGCTGATCTCAAGAAGAATGAGAAAGCAGTTGATGCTCTCTTATTTGTTGTAACATCCAAATGCAAGATCTGCAATGAAACATGATATATATTGAACTTAAATGTAATGTCTTGGATACGACTCAGCTGGTCATAGAGCTGAGTGTTTATAAAATACCATGAAAGGAAATACAGGCAGTTTCTTCATATTCCAATAGGGCATTGCAACAGATTTATTTTTACAGCATTTTGTATTTATATCATAAAACTTGTCAAACACTACTGCTACATGTGCTGAACACCCACACTTTTCAACTGAGTTAACACTTTAGTTGATCAAGATATGACTCGTACATAAATGGTATCTGAAATACACAAGCAGACATCCAGCAGCACCTGAATTATTAACCACTGTTAGGAAGGCAAGTAGACTTAACTCAGCACAACATATGAATTTCAATGATCCTCAAAGGTGTTTTGTTGGTGGACATTTAAATTAGATGTGATATTCATGTGATCCATACAGGAATGCCACACTGACCTCTGCTGGCCAATTAAACTTTTCTGTTAACAGCGTAACATTGGACTCCCATTGTGTCTATTCACTCAGACTCTTGGCATTTTTTCAGTCGCTGCTAAAATACTCGACTACCATTCCCCACTTCTTCATATTTTTCTAAAGAATAAAAGATAATCATTTTGTTCAAATTTACAATGATAAAACTATACGTCCATTTCAGGCAGCTGATTATCTGCCTAAGGTAGTGATCAATTAAATTCATTATAAGCTCTGAGCAAATTGATGACATTATCAACAAGAAATGGCAACACATCAATTACCTTCCTTGAGTAACCATTCACCCCTCCAAAGATCACAATATTGTACCTGTTCAAAAGGGGGAACATTTTCAACATACTGAAGGCTGTTCTTGATTCATTTGGATTTTTTCCTTTTAACATGCTTCCTTCCACAAACATTCTGCATGTACATTTATTGAAAAATTATATTTCCTGTACCTGTGTCAGTATATGATTTGTTTCAATTTGGACCAAGGAGAGAGGGCCATGCACAGAGTAACTTCTTTGTACTAAACACCCCAGTTGTATGAGCCGTAAGAATATCCCTGCATCATCAACACGATGCATGGATGCCATCATTCTCCACCGCTGTACTCGGAGACCCATTGAAACCAAACGGCCTTGTACCATTTGATACCCAGCATTTGGCATCTGAGCTTTAACAAATGAGATAATATCGTCCAGCTCTTGGTCAGTCACTGTGCTGTATGATCCTCATACAGACAAGCCAAATTCGTGCATTCTCCTGTAAATTGTTCTTCTTGAGACACCAAGGCGCTTTGCAATGCAGGAGACTGGCAGATGTGTCTCCAGAGAATTCTTTAGTTTGTCTTTCCCTATGATGATTTTGGGGTGTCCAGATCCTGGACCAGCCTCTGTTTCCTGTTCCACAATTGGCACAGAGCTGGCACTTATTTCCCTCTGGACAGCATGATAGAGGTATTGTAGTCCTTCTGTTATCTCTGATAACACTGCCTGTCTGTTCAGAGAATGATTCAAACAATAAGCGATCTAATCGGAGAAGAATCATTTATTTCATTTAACCTTTATTTAACCAGGTAATTAACCCGATGAGACCAAGATGTCTTTCACAAGGGTGATCTGGCCAAGAGGGCCTATATCAATCATAATTGAGCTTTCCTGACTCCCGATTGGTTGATTTTGTGGCACATTTGTTACAGCGTGCAATGTTGAGCGAGCGTACTGGCAAAGTTGAGTGCGCCAGAGTGAGCAGGTCGAGAAAGAGAGAGAGAAGAAATGTGAGCGAGTGGGCGGTGGCCTACCAGTGCACACAAAGAAAACTGAGGGAGAGAGAGTGTTAAAGCACACTTAAGTGTATATGGATCGTTTCGGGCACTAAAACTGATTTAATGAACACTCTATTGATTTTTGTTTGTTTAAACTATGATTTTTCTCTTAGTATATTTTTTTGTGCTCAAAAGTGCCCATTGATTGCTCAGAAATGAGGCACAAATATAACACCATTAAATACCCTAGCTAAACTTACTCAGTTTATTGTGTGTGTGTGTGTGGGGGGCAAACATTGTATCATGTTGCGGCTGATAACTGTGCGAAGGAGTGACGGTACGGCTCCACTGGTTCCAGCGATGGACAGCACTTCAACGCTTTCCATTCATTTCCTATGAAGACCTTGAGAGGCAGTCGCGCGATGCATTATGGGATCTTTGCCGGACAAGAATAGACCTGAAATCTATTCTATGTAAATGAATACAGCAACCTCCCGGACTAGCCATGCGTCTATCCAATCAGGTGCATGCATTGAGACTACTTCACCAATTGCGTAACCTACAGCGAAAAGGAGGCAAAACAGAATACAATAATATGCCGACCGCCATAAAACGGGTATACGTCCATCAAGCAGTGAGTTGAGTACAGCTGAAAATCTGGGGCCATATTCACAAAGCCTCCTAGGTACTAAGAGTTAAGCTTGGCTCACACTGTGCGATTTTCCCCCGATAGTATAAAAGTCGGGTGGCATGTCAGCTCACACTGTACGACTGAATCGTTTACGACGCCCGACCAGACCTTGAGATTGACGTGCTCACACTGTACAACCCGATTGTCGGGCACGGCCGGAGAGCTCACACTGTATGAGTGAAATCGGGACGGAGCGTTGACAATTGTAAATAAAGTTTCATTTGAAAACTCAAACAGACGACGGTTGGTGAATGAGAATGAAGTGGAAGTTGTTGTATGATATAGTAAAGTAGATACAATGGTAGATATATGGATACAAGTTTCAGAAAAGTGCTGCACTGATGATCTGTATCGAAAACCAAAAAAAAAAAAAAAAAATGCTGTGTTGCATCCTGCAACTGGTTGCCATGACTACACTCCTCCTTTGTCTCTTGTGATTATATTGTAGTCACACACAACTTCTGCTGGACCCTTTTCACGACGTCTCGTCAAGATTTTAAATTCTAATTATCAAACATGTTTGAAATAAATCGGGGCGTCCACTGACGATCACCGGGCAGATCGGGGACGTTAAGATTGGATCTTTGTACCGCTCACACTACAAGATAATCTGAGCAGATAATCGGGTCCGAGCAGCCTTGAGTCGGGAGCGACCCTGCGATTGTCGGGAAGGAAGAATCGGAGCTCAAATCGGCCGATGATCCTGCAGTGTGAGCCAGGCTTTACTCCTAGTGACTAAATTCTTAGAAAATCAGGAATGGAGACATTTTCTAAGAGCTTCCCCTCAAAGTTAGGACTAGCTCCTTGTAAAGATAAAAGTTCTTTACAACGTGTCTTAGCCCTTAAAAGAGCTCCTTAGGTGACAAACTGTTTTGAGTAGTAAAGAGTTTCTCAAGCTGAGGAGAAAATGGAGAAATGTTCTCACTACATGAGGAATAATCTTTTTGAGTCAAAGTCAGCCCAACAGACAAAAATGATTCATGCAGACATTTCAATCCATCTATGACTTTATTCAGTACAAAGTGAGACATGCATGTTGAGTTTCTCTACATGTGGTTACCTCCACAGGTTCATCCAATCACTAATTAAGAACCTTTACCTGCTGATGTAATGATCAGCATGTGAAGAAGCTGCTGCACAAGTGGACATTTGATTTCAAACTTTGTGTAGGCTGTATACTTTTAAAGTACATCTTCCAAATTATCACACAGATTGTAATTTCATAGTTTTTCACAATAACACAATGTCTGACTAGATTCTATGTTTGACTTTATTTCTCCTTTTGTTTTTGGATTAACCAATCACAGCTTCTGAAAAAATGTGTCATTCTAACAACGGGGTCAATCCCGCATTCTCTTTTTTAAAGATTTATTTTTTGGGCTTTTCGTGCCTTTAATGCAGAGCGAGGGCAGTGGATAGAGTCGGAAACCAGGGAGAGAGAGCGGGGAACGACAGTCTCAATACATGGGACGCGCGCCCTAACCATTGCGCCACCAGCACGCCCCAATCCTGCATTCTCACGAAGATAAAAGTTTCTGTCCATTCCTTGCTCAGAGATGCTCTAAGAATGTTCCTAAATCAATCATAGGCTAAAAGTCCTTGATAGGAATTTTTAAGCTAAGTTAGGAGCTCTCTGAGAGGATTCTCAGAATGTTTGTGAATACGGGCCCTGGGGTTCAGTTACCCTGAGGCTTTATGAATGTGGCCCCTGGGCTTTTGGAGTCAGTCTAG